TCCCCATGCCCCGCCTTACCTACCTCCGTCTCTACGACAACCCCTGGAGCTGTCACTGCCCGTTGGACAGCCTGCTTAGGACGCTGCAGGTGCCTAGTAACCGCAACCTGGGCAATTACGCCAAGTGCGCTGAGCCCCTTTCGCTGAGGGGCCAGAAGCTGAAGAAGCTGAACGTGGACTCGTTGTGTGCAGGTGACAACCAGGTGGATGAGACTCAACCTAAGCCACCCACCAAAAAGATAGTGGCCACATCCATGTGCCACACCTACATGTTCCCCAAACCTGTGCTGGACTGCAGCTACAAAGGTGAGCGTGTCGATTGTCAACGAGACAATCCCTCCCTCTCGCCCCCGCCACTGTCAGGGTGACATCATCGAGACTATGACTCGACTCGTATCGACATGGGGAGCTAACATGCATAAAAGCTACACAGGCGCTTTGTTTGAGCGGACCACTCTTAAGTATTTATGGGGTGATTGAGCAATTAGACCGTCAGGCAAGAGAGCCCAGCCGGGAAGTGTTTCAACGCTTTTCACGCCGTCCTAGCGACAAACAAAAGGGAGTTTGCAAAGCTGGATCCCCGACCTGACGGACAAACTAGCTACGCACTAGTTAGGATGGGGTTAGTACAACACAACAGGGATGGGTTTAAAATGGGATCAAAGAGAAAAAAAAACATGCCAAGTTCTGAACTTCTGGAGATGAAAGTAAGTTATTTTAAACTAAAAAGGAAAGCTTTGCTTAGTCAGCGTGCTGGTGTTGGCTACATCCATTTTCTAAACCGCTGATCCTCACAACGGTCGCAAGGGGTGCTGGAGCCTATCCCAGCTGTCTTCGGGCAGTAGGCGAGGGACACCCTGAACCGCTTGCCAGCCAATCGCAGGGCACACAGAGTTGAAAAAAAACATCCACGCTCACGCTCGCACCTAGGGACAATTTTTCGAGTGTTCAATCAGCCTGCCGTGCATGTTTTTGGAATGTGGGAGGAAACCAGAGTACCCGGAGAAAACCCACGCAGGCATGGGAAGAACATGCAAACTCCACACAGGAAGGCCGGAGCACTGTGAGGTCGACACGCTAACCACTGGACAACCAGGCCGCCGGTCTCGGCTACCCTCCGATATATTTGAATGAGACGATATTTAACGTGAAACATAAACATGAATCCTTCCGAGAGGAAGTCGTCAAGAGCATCGAAAAACTGTCTGTTTTTATACCTCGCTTGGTTAGAAGCAAAGCAGTCAAGATGCAGGCTGGAAGTAGCGAGGAAACTTTGGGAGCCAAACAAAGACAAAGAGTAAGAAGGGAGTCCAGTTCTCTATCTCATCTCGCTTTCATGTCGGCCCAACCGTGTCCTCTTGAAAACGACGCACGGGCTTTTTGGAAAGAACTCACATCAGACTCCTTCTTGTCTTTGAGGATGACGGCGGATCAAATAGAAACCATCTTGCGAATCATTTTTCACCGAGTCAGAAGCCCACAAAGTGCCAATTGTGTCGGGCAAACGGTGGAGGAAGGAGGTTTTGCATATTTTCCGAGCATTTCAACACTCGGACTCTTGAATGGGCTCTCTATCCGACTCCCTGACATTGATTCCAAACAGTTCTGCCTCGTCACCCGGTTTACGATGCAACCCGAGTTTTGCCCCTTCAAATGGTACGCAAACGCCGCGGTCGGGTCGAATAAACACGCGTATTGGTTTCAAACGTTAAGATCTTTGGAAATCGGATGACGTTAATAAGGTGGCGTTGTTTTTTCTTACGTCCTGGCGCGATGATTGTATCACGAAAGGGCGACCACTTTTGAGGTCTAAACGCTGCAGCAACGATGAAATGGAAAAGACCGTCTGGCGTTTGCACGGAGTTCGATTTCTACCCGGTCCTCAGTTCTGTCTTTCGTGTCAAAATGGCGCCGGCCCTGTGGTTTAAGGCCTGAGGTGAACCACAGCAAATTTCAGGCTCCACGTCATTCTCAGCATCAAGACTCAGTCAAGGCAGCTACAGATGTGCACAGGGACACTTTTTTTTGTTTTTGTTTTTACGCAAGAGCACACTGAATAGTACTTTTTAATTAATGCCATTATTCAAAACAAGAGCGGATTAAGAAGACCAAAAAAAATTCATAAAAAAATGCTTCCCAAGTGTCTCGGAGGGAAAAAGGAAATCAAATCCAACACGATTCTGCCAGGTAATGAGACATATCCTGCAGGAGGTCCGTTCGGAACTGGACTGTGTGCAAGAGTTATGAAACTTTAGCGCCTGCGCGCTTCAAACGAATGCTGCGCGCAGCTACTTGTGGCGACCATAAAGCAAAATGCCTCGGCTGGAAAAGCTGTAATTAGCCAAAACGGGGGGGCCTGAATCAAAACAGAAAAAAGATTGCAGTGTTTAAAGAATATAAACCATGTGCAATAACAACTTACAGACTCACAAGTCACGCTTCTTTCACCCTCTGTAGTCGACTATGTGGATTAATGTCCAACAGTCCAAATAAATCAGATATATTTCGGCTTCCTCACATGCTTGCGCTGCACATTTGGCCATTCAGTCTGTCTGTGAAACACCCCCCCCCCACCGTCCGCCCGTCCTGAACTGAACTGTAATTCACAAATTGTGAAAAGTCAACATCTTCTCTCCCTTTCGAAACCCCGTGGGCGTTGAATGAGCTGAAACCACGCCCCGCTAATTAACTGTCGATCAAATACGACTGCTGCAACCCAGAAAAAAAAAATGGATGCTACTCTTAACATCTACAGTGTACGTAGGAGCCGCGAAAATGTATCCGCTTAAAGCCCACAATAGCTGGCATATATTCCATTTTCCGTGTCATGACAACGAGGCGCTCTAAAGGAGCTATGACAGCTCAAAGCTTGTCGGGTCCTAACGCTGGTTATCGTGGCTGGGAGTTTTTTTTTTCTTTTCTCCTCACTTCTTGCTTTTTCGCCTTTCTCAACGTCGCATGCGTGCACTCACGGCAGACAACGAGGCGCTCTAAAAAGTTTGTTGAATTCAAATTTTGAGTTCGGTCACCTTTTTTTTTTTTTTCCCAGCGTACATATTGTACTTTTCAGCCTCCGTATGTTTTCAAATATCAAACGCGTGCCTTATATATTTAGAACCCAACCTCATGGGCTGCATTTTTTTTTAATCTATTTTCATCAGTATCCTGTGGAGCAAAGTATAGCTTGCTTGAACCACAGCTTCTCTCTGAGACAGAATTTGCGTTTGGTCCGAATGACACCGAGCCAATCCCAGAGTCGTTTTTACATCGAGATGTGCCAAACGCTTTCCAGCTGTCATCTGCAAACAGGCTCCGAAAAGGCTGCAGACGCACACTAGGGGGAAAGAAGTGAAGAAAAAAAACTAAACCCTGGGAATCCCTTTCGATTGCAAGTCTGCGGAGGAGCATGAAACGTTACCTTAAAAGTCTGCTCCTGCAATAACAACAAACCTTGGAGGTGCATTTCTGTATTCCAGACTTAGCTTTACGGCGTCGCGCCGCCATGATAACAGCTTACAACATCTGCGCCGGTTAAGTGCGCCTATAAAGCCTTGCAACATCTGCACTGTAAAAAAAAAATAAAGAAATAAAACGTCCACCAGGCTTCACGGCCTTAAACAGCGTCCACGCGGGGTGCTGCAGACAAAGACGAAAACTGCACAATGCACACGAGGATGATTGCATCCGCTCACCTGCGACTCATTTACTACAAAGACAATCGGCCATCGTTTCATTTGACACTTGAGGGGGCCACACAAATTCAAACCGGCTTTTGAAATTATGATTTTTTTTCCACTTCATTCAAAAAGCCTGACAGCTAAATGGGAGCCACACTTCTGGTTCTGTTTATCAAGCGTAAAGATGCCGCAGAGTGATTTTTGAGTCTTGACGAGTGGGAGAATGTTCGCGCAATTACTGAACGGCCGGCGTCGCGGAAATTACTGGTTCTTGCATTAAAGGCCAATCAGAGGGGAAATGTGTAAGCGTGGACCTTGGAAACGCATTGAGAGTCTTGTGTTTGTTGTTGGGGGCGGGGGAGGGGTGGGGACGTTGCACACAACCCACGCAACATCTTGAAAATAGTTAAGACTCTGACAAATCGGATCTTCGGGGGCTCCCGTTGACTCTGAGGTGACCTGTGGGAACTCGCGCTTTTATAAGGGGCGGACGAGATGGACAAAGCAGATGCAAAAGAAGCCGGGACGGTGCGAAACATGCTCAAGTTGTTCATCACAACAAACTTGCATCGATTTTCCGATAATAATACTCAACGGGTATTTTGAGCAAAATGGGTGCGGCGACACACGTAGACAGACAAAAACAAAACCCAACCTTGGCGAAGAATGACTCATGTTTGCTCGCAGCTTCATGAGGAGCTCTGACGGTTTTCATTTATATGCCCATGTCTATTATAATACCCCCTGGTGGTCAAGGCGTGCACAGCATTGAATTGAAGCAGCAAATCATGATGAGAAAGATTTTACATGCCATTTAATTTGGTTACATAATTGTATATAGAACAATATTGTTGAGTGCTATCTGATATGGGGGAAAAACATGTTATCCGATTTTTGTTGGTGTTTTTGGTGGGCAGCTGGAACGGATTAATGGCATTTCCGTTCATTTAAATGGGAAGGAATTGACGTGTTTTGAGTTCCAAGTGTGTTCAAGGAATAATTTAAACTCTGACGTCAAGGCGCCACTGTATGCTGAAAGAATGCGTCTTAACTGAAAGACTCCCATCTAGGGAGGAGCTAAGTTTAGCCTGGGTTGGTAGTGGAGAGTTACAGAGGGTTTTTTTTTTCCCAAATCATACCACCATTTACTTTTAAGAGTAACGTAAGAAGTTTAAAATGAAGTATAATTGTGGTTGAACCCTTTCATGCACTGATAACGATAACCTGTAACCTGGACAACATGATCAGCTGTCCACTGTAGTAACCGCTGTCCCCGAAAGGGTTCACCGAATAATACAGGCAACTATAAACTTCCTGACTTACCGCGACAGGTGAAGTGATGAATCCCTCCTTTTTCCTGGCAGGTTTGAGCAACGTCCCGTCCGACCTGCCCTCCGACATCGTGAAGATGGATCTGTCCGGCAACAACATCAAACATCTCAGGCCTAAGCAGTTCCTGCATTCCAAAGACCTCAAGATGCTCAACCTCAGCAGCACCAGCCTGAACCAAATAGACGCAGGTGCCAGTTAAAAAAATATATATATATATATTTTTTTTTTGCATGCAGAATCTATTAATGCGTTTAAAAGGATCAAGCACGCCCAAGCGTGACAAATGATGTTGATCCTGCAGCATGTGTCTCCCATTCCGCTAATGGACCGCCGAGAGGCTCGACGCTAACAAACGTCGGCGGCGCGGAAATGAAACCCCTTAACAAATCCTGGTCGTTGTATTCGTTAGCGCCTCCGTGTAAATAATCTCCCCGCTGGCTTTCTCTCTGGAGTATTTGGTCGTTATCTCCTGCTTAGTGTCAAATTCCCGTCACGTATCCGTTTTGCAGGGTCGCCGACATAAAAGAACGGCAACGATGTTCAACGTAGGAGGTTAGGTATGTCGGTGAAACGAGATATTTCCTTTAAATAATCCAATGACAACTTGACATGTCTATTTTAATAGGTTTTTTTGAGGGGGGGGGGGTTCAGACGGTCGCAGTCAAGCAAGCCAGAGATTAAAAAAACAAGCACGTTTCCCTCATCCTTTTTCATTATTTCTTTAAACGTTCAATTATTTTGAAACATATGGTGACCCCTTCCTCCCCCCCGTCTTCCTGTTTCTCTCCCCGTCGTCGTCGAGATCAAAGCTAAGCTCGAGGCCAGCGGAGCACAGCAGGAAACGCTCGGAAATGTCTTCTTCCACTCGCTCGCTGGCCTTCCTTCCCGTCATTGCACGAGACACTCGATTGAGTCGCGTTCATTTCCGGCGGCGGACGAACAAGGGGAGACGTCGCGCCGCATGCAGGCAAACGGATCGTACCGATGACGCGCGGGGGACACGCAATTTCAAACTTTTGAACACTGCAAGACGGCGCCAAAACTCTATTTGATAGGAAAGGACCAAAGCTCTGCCTCGAATCGCAAAAACTCGCAATTGACACCTTACCTCAAAGATGACTATAAAGCATCAACACCCTGACTCTAGCATGTACACAAACATGAACCGATGTTACATAAACAAAATGTTTTCACAGAACTTCCACAATTCATTCTGCTGCTACCATCATGAGTTACCTCATCAATAAAGACTAGTGAGTCAGTTCTAGGAGCAGCCATGTGAGCCCAAACTGCTTGGGGGAGGAGCTAATTTTTTTAGCCAGGGTTGTTTAGCGGACCAAGTGAAGCGAGTCTGAATGGGCCAAACCATTTTCCCAAGTCATTTGTTCTCCTCTCAGGTGCATTTGCGGGGCTCCTGTACCTCCGCGAGTTGGATCTGTCCAACAACAGCCTCCACTACTTCCAGTACGCCGTCTTGGAGGACCTCTACTTCCTGCGCAAGCTGTCTCTGAGCAACAACCCGTGGATCTGCGACTACAACATCCACTACTTGATCTACTGGCTCAAGCTGCACCCTGGCGTTGCCCACACGGGCCTCATCTGCGCCGAGCCGCGCGAGTTCCGGGGTTGGCGTGTGGTCGACTACGTGAAGACCTACAATGGGGAGTGTCCCAAGGATATACAGACAGGGGGGGCCAACAACGGGGCACAAGGGGGGACGGAGAACGAGGCGCAAGAGCTGGTGGGGGAGACGGAGGAAGGGGTCCAGCTGAGGCCCCTGAAAAACCGGAAGATGAAAAAGTTTGAGATCATCAGGTTGAGTTAATCTCGAGGTGGATTAATAGTTTATTGTTGGTGTGCACGGGGATTTAGTTTGGGATCAGCCTGAAGAATTATCACAGGTTGACACAGTGATTTTATGCGTTGAAAGGAAACAACGGTGTTTTTTTTGTTCAGTTTTTTTATTTTGCAATTTATGAAAATAAAAAGCAGAAGTCTTTTAAGGGCATCTTAATTCTTAGAAGGGATCCTTAGTTGTCACATTGCTGTGCTTAGTCAACTTTAGTTAATGCAAAGGTTTTCCCCTCAACCGGATTTTCTTCCCAAATCAAACACCGCCCCCAGCTGCTCAAAACTATGAACTACAGGTGCTTTCTCTCTCAATTACTTTTCTTTTTGTACTGGCGAATGAATGAATGGCACTTTGGATAAGATCTTTGCAAATAAAAATGTGTCTATTTTTTCTGAGAGTTTTTTTTCAACAGTCAAGTAGATATATTTCAGATTCAAGAATAGAATAGCAAAAATACATTTCAACATAATTAGAATGAAAGATAAATTAGTTTAGAACGGGTAGGTAAACAATGGCCCAGGCACCACATTGGGCTCTTTCATCCAGCCTATTACATCTAAATCATTTGTGAAATTAAATTTTTTTTTGACAAATTAAACCGTTTTGTTCTTTTTTTTTCACTAAAAACATTAAATGTAACCAAAACATATTTTTGCCTGAAACATCTGAGGATGCTGAGCCACCTCTGCGAAAACACCATTAGTGAACAGAACATTCAGTTCGACAATGAATCTATTAATACGTAAAATATTATCAGCAATGATGTTAAAAACGTAAAATGAATCTACTAATTGGCACAATTAAATAACAAAAACAATTGAGGAAGCAGCATGTTATTATTAAACTACGTAGAAAGCATTTTAGATCACACAAATAGATACTGTTACCTGAAAGAAATTGTTTGGAAAGAAACTTCCTTGTTGAAGAATACTGGAAGGTGATTGGCTAAGCAATTTGTAAGTCACATCTATCAACGTAATGTCAGTGGATGGGCGTGGCTTAACTCACCGCTAGCTTGTCACGCAGGTAGCGTCTCACGTGCGAGTCAGGAAAGAGAAGCGTTTCAAAACATCCTTTGTTTTCACACAGATAAAGTCTCTTTACTTGATGGAAAAATGTTGTCGACCGCTAACATAACTGTCAGTGAGTCAACATCCCTGTAAGAGAAACAGAAATCAACGGCGAACCCTCCTTACGTGACAGCGAAGTCACGCTGGTCTTGTTTGAAGCTTTTTTTTTTCCCCCCTTCAAACTTGGCTGAAATGATCATCGAGCGCCACCTTGTGGAATGGCGGCGAGACAATTTACAGCCTTCAATAAGGTTGTGGTTTTCATTTGGTTTTCAAATGTGGCCCTTCAGCTTTATATATATATATAAATTGAGCTTCATTAGCCTATCGCAGCTGACTTTTGAGTCCGACCAATCACGGGGCACATTTTTACCACTGCCACAAAAACTAATCACATAACACCACACAGTATAATGATTACTAAGTAATGAAGCCTTTAAAAATGTGACATTTTAACATTGTAAACATGGAGGGGGTGGGGCTAAAATTAATCCCACTGTGTTTTGATGTGGATAATTCTTTCAAATAATCTCAAATACCCAGAATGCAGACCCGCTAAGCTGCTTTCACTGAATTGCATAACATTTACCAGCTTTTGAGGCCGAACGCTGATCGTGCTCAGAATCTCCGCTATTAACTTCATCACAATGAGTTTCACAGTGTAGATTTTGTTCCACATTTAATAAAATCCGAAGCATCATTACGATCACAACAGAAAAAAAAATCAACAATCATTTATGGAACATTTATGTCCACTATCATCTGTTCTCCAGTTTCCTCCAGACAGGGAAACGGGTCAAACACTGGGTACGACATCATTCGTTGCATCATGAAAACTTCTGATCTTAAAAGAAGGAAGAACTATGTAGGTCTCTGAATTGATTCTTCAAAGCTTCAACAATCACCTCCTGAGTCACGCTCATTCATTCCTATTGTCCTGATTGGCATCCATTTGTCATCGTGTGTTCCCTCCAGAACATCCTCAACAACACGACTTCTTGTCCGCCGATGTTAAGGCGCCTACGGTGCCGTTCACCGGACGGGAATTAGTCCTGAGGAGTAGTCGGGGCCTGCCGAAGCTTTCCAGCTCATCTTGCTGGACCTGAAGGCCGTTACGAGACAGGAGCTCTCTCGCCATCAACATGAAGCTCTCCTCTACATTCTGACCCTCCTGGACAGACACATATGGAACGCCAACCATGTACTAAAACACTTTTTCCACACTAGTAGACTGACTGTGTTTTTTTCCCCATAATGACATAACATTTCTACAAGTGAGTTTTTTTTTTTGCGATGTATTTTTCACCTTGGCAGATGTTTCCAGCGCAGCGAGTGCGCCTCTTTCTTTTGCCATAATGCAGGCCTCCTCAAACAGAACCTCACGCTCCTCCTCCAAGTCGCATTTGTTACCTGGGTGGACGGAGACAGAAATTCATACAACATATAAATACACATCAACTCACAATTTTCAAAATTGCATGGTTTGTTATTAAATGTCATTAATTTTTTTTTTTTTTTTTTTTTACCGACGACTGTTCACTGAAATCCCTTTGTGCCAAGAACTATGTTAAAGTAAGAGGCGGAGCTTCATTTAGTCATGCCCTGTCTAATAAAAAAGTAACGCTTTGCCGCCATCTTGCAGCATCTACAGGCAATACTAAACCTTTTGGATGGGCAATTACTGCTCGCAGATACCCAACCAGACATTTCCAAACATTCAAACATGTCATGGCGAAGCGTGCACTCACCAATGAGTACCAGCACCACGTTGGCCGCCCCATAGAGCTCCACCTCGTGTATCCAGTCGCTCACTGACTCAAAAGTGGTGCGTCGCGTGATGTCATAGGTGATCATGGCGCCGTGAGCGCTGCGGTAGTAGCTCTGAGTGATGGTTCGGAAGCGTTCCTGTCCCGCCGTGTCCCACACTTGCATCTGTTCAACACAGTATTAATCACACTCGGTGCCTGAGCAGAAGATTCAACTCCTGCACTGCAGTCAAAACGAGGAAGTACTTTGTTTCACACTAAAACATGTTAAATCAAGACAGCTAGCATGAATGTTAGCATGAATGTTTATCATCCACATACACAGTGTGTGGCAAACTACATTAGTGTGGCAACAGGTGCCGGACCCTCAGCCGCGGCAAGTGTTTACTGTCGAATCTGCGGCAGGGAAAGGGGAACGAGTTTTTGTTAAGTCCCCTGAGGGCCACATGACATACGAAGAGATAGCTAGCTAGATAGTTGGATCGCTAGCTAGATAAGAAGCGTGGGGTGTTTGGTGAAGTCCCCTGAGGGCCATATGACAGACACAGAAATAGCTAGCTACATAGTTAGATCGCTAGCTGGATAAAGAGTAATGCTATTTGTTAGCTTGTCGATGTTTGCCATTTTGAGCTGGGGTTAAGCTAGCGGATTTCGAGGCAACATTATGTAGCATCTTGGTTGTATATAGCATCACAGCTGCTTGTTGTAAAATATGTGAAATTCAATGCCACCCTCCAGTGCTAGCATCTCTGCTTTAAACTAGCAAGTCAAAGCAAGCAAAAATGTCCCAACGACAGCGCGTATCTTCGAAAAACTCTGACCTGGGGTCACTTGTTTTTCAAGATACCGCCATGGTATAACTGCCTGAGTCATTTTTAACTGTGTCATAATTAGCTGGTTAACGAATATATTTTTAACACCGTGTTAACTTTTTGCGGAACCAATCATGATGCAGCTCATCTACTTCTCAGCGGTTCTTTCGTCGAGGCGCCACGCAGAGGAACCTGAAGAACCGGTTCTCGGTTCCAGTTGCCAGTCGGGCTTGTTTTGGACACTTAGCCCAAAAGCTCCCTTGTAAATAACGCTCAACAAAGTTGCATTTGATTGGGTTTGAAGCCTTTTTCAAGACCTGTTTGAGTTCAGTCGTGTTTGTGCGGCAAACAGCTGACACCGCCAAAAACCATAACAAAGGCAAAAAAACCCCCAAAAAAAACAGGGTCTAATTTGAGTGCTTCCTCATGCTTAATCTTTGCTATTAGCAGTCACATGTTGGGACTTTTTGCCAGACTTTGTCTTGAATTAATTAAATATCAACCCTCCCTTAAGGCTTCTTCAACGGAAATCAATATGCTACTGACCTTGACTTTCTTGCCTTCAATATCCAAAGTGCGCACAGTGAAATCCACCCCAATGGTGTTCTGCTGCTTCTCTGAAAAAACTCCCGACTTGAAGTTCTGGACCACGCAGGTTTTCCCCACATTGGAGTCTCCGATCAGGACAATCTTGAACAGGTAGTCGAAGGAGTCGTCATGTTCCGTTCCTGGGTTCTGCATCCTGGAGGAACTTGGTATTGGGGGTTAGGGGAGCGGACGGCAGGGGTTGGTGGGCCCAATTCTTGGGCTGCGGGGATGCCGAGTGATGTTTGGGGAAAGTCAATTTGCAGAATCAAATATGTCTCACCGCAGGGTAAATTGGAGGAAACGTTTTCACATTGATCCCGTCCGACCGGTTCCTGACGACTGTTTGTCAAGGTGTCAAATGATTCCGCTCAAAGGTCAACAATTTCTTCACATTTTCTTTGTGGTTTCCAAAGTTTCGATCCTTTTTGCCTTTGCTTGCCGTATTGTGTTGTCAGGTGGTGACCCTCTTCAAGGGCAACCGCAGCAAAAAGCACATCTTTGAATTCCCGGGCCTCCGGAGACAATCCACTTGACAGAATGTTCTTTTGCATTCAGAGAACCAACACAAAAAAAAAATTTTTTTTCCTCCGCAATGCAGTTTGCCGTCTTATCCACCTGTTATTCCTTTACTTTCCTTCCCGCAACAGTACTATCAGCCCGCTTATAACGACTTCAGTTCCTCCCTCCCCTCTGTCACGCTCTCTTCATAGCACCTGTGGAAACAATAGAATCCCGCCCTACCTGTTTGAGAGACAACAATGTCACCGTTCCTTTAAGACTGCTGGATTGTGGGAAGTGAAGTTCACCTGTCCCAAACCTCATGTGAATAGCAAGTGTCATATTTGACAGTTGATCGTAAGATGTGCAACATTTGGAATATCTCTGAATTCTGCTCAAGTCATATGTTGATAGGTTATTTTGACACCAACATAGGGGATAATGTCACCATTATGCATGTGGCATGCAACTACTAAATTGTCAAAATTATTTTTGCAAAATGGCCAAATACAAACAAACAACAACACGCTGCAATTATTTTTTTTAATGCTACCTACTTTTTTTTGGGTTTGTGTTTGTGTCACTGGGGTTTGTACCTCATGGAGTCGCCTTCTAGAGAATAGCGCCTGAGCGCGATGAATATAATATCTCAATACCGATTTTTGACAAAAAAAGAAAAAAACGACAACAAATTAATCAGACGGTTAATTTAAAAACTATATAATGCATCTACCAAAAATATTAGAGTGCATGAATAAAGGTACAAACAATCGTCAAATTTGGCCATTGAAGGCACTCGTTTTCAAAACTGAGGTTTAAAAAAAAAAAAACACTAGAGGTTCGCCATGCCCAAGATTATCCATAAAAGAAGGCCACAACTTATGAAACAATTTAACAGTCTAATGCTTACATAAAAGAGAAAAGACACCGGACCCCCTCTCGGTTACGTCACACGGAACGTTATCCCGTCGATAGCAAGAATTCCGAGTGTCCGCGAATGCGGCAACATCCAGCGCATCACTGTGACGTCCCCGCACGCGTTCGAATGCCGTTCCGTCCGAAACATCACCAGCACGCATCTTTGCCCGTTCTCCTTCTCCCGTGTGCTTTCGGGGCGTTGTCAAAACTGGGGGTCTGCGGCGGTGGCGACATGCAGCGGAACGCGGTGGTCGTGGTGGCGGATAAAACCAGCCTGAAGAGGCCGTTCATTTTCGCCTGCGCCGTCAACATGGTAGGCGCAACCGAAGGATGAATTGATGCAACTTGGGCGAAAAGAGCCCCCGGAGATGACCGCCTCGTGCACTGCTGCTTTCATTATTTGGGATTGCGGTGGGGGGGGGGCAACATTTGCCGGCTCGACTCGAATAGAAATGACGGGTGACGTCACGTGGAGGCCATCCATCAGAATGCACATTTTTGAATGTGGAGGCCAAAACGACATTGAAGCGATTCTTCGGCTTATTTGGTTGTTTCAAAATGAGAAAACATTTGTACAGTACGTATAACTTAATTCAGGAAGGAAGGAATTTGAAACCCTGACACTGGCCTTGAAACCGTAATCCTAGTTTAAAACCCTGTAGCCCTTGCTTGAAACCATCATTTAAACCCAAATATGACATATTTACAGTACAAACGATTCAGTTAATATGTATTGTGCATAAGCTAATAAAAACCCAACCCGAATGTGCTGAAAAGTTAACTACAACTCGACTCCTCCGAGGCAGTAATTATTTTATGCACCGCTAGAGGGAGCCCACACCTGGAGAATCACTGATTTATTTATTTTTTTGCAAAATGACGTCAATTATTGTGATGTCATAAAAACAGGCATGTTAGGTTGCGCTCTTTAAAAATAAGCACAGAGAAACCCATGAGATTTTGGCCAGTAATTCTGTGTTACCTCCCCCAAGGCTCTGTGCTTCTTCATGCTGACCATGACGGCGGTGGGCCACCGGGACCTCCTGCAAGCGGGCCAGGTGGGACTCCTTATGTGTTTATTGTGGGGGGGCGGAGCTTTTCTCGTCCACTGGCGTGTCCTTGAGCGGGGCAGGGAATTATCATCACATCACGTACGCGTGACCCTGAACTTTCACCCCACCCCTCGCCATTTCACGGCCTCGCTGCCCTCGTCACAACCCTCTGAGGCACATTTATTACAACTATATAATCCGGTTCGGGCCAAATGATGCTTATTATGTTCAACTTGAACCGACAACTAATGTTTTGATGTGACGTAATTATAAAGTGTCATTTTTGATTTGTCGGGGACGCTCGTGTTCGGGGTGTGCGAGTGCTTCTATAAATCTTCTTATTATTATTATTTAACTGCTCAGCTGGTGTCCAACGCGTCCGTGGTGATTTTGTACATCCTGGAGATCGCCTGCCTGCTGCTGTCGGTGCTCGGTGTGTTCGGAGCCTGCACGGGAAGGAGGTGGTGTTTGATTCTGGTAATTGGAATATTCACTCCCCGTGTTACAAATGTCGGCTGTCAACGGGGATGGATCGGATTTTTTTTTTCCTCCAACTCTGTGACCTTCCCTGTGCAGTTTGCAGCCGGGATGGCAGCAGCCAGTCAAACAATCATCGTGAAAACGGCGCTAAGCTACCAGGACATTTACGAGGTAGACGACACACTCGATCGCGTATTCATTTTACAATCCAATTGAAGAGGCTCTCTTTAGACGGGCGTAGCAAGAGAAGAGTCCAAGTTGCTCTCCATGATGCCTCTGAGTGCCACCGGCAAAGTCAACAGGACTTTGCTTCATAGTATTCAAGCACATGTAAGCGCACGCCATTCATCATCGACGCAGTGTCGTCCCATTTCGACAACTCAACGGAGTGTATTGTGTGTGTGTGTGTGTGTGCTCACCAGTTTAAATGCTGTGGGCTCATCGAAGGCTACAAAGACTGGGGCACAGCCATCCCTGCTTCTTGTCATTGTCAGTCGCCGGGGAAATGCGTGAGTATCCCTTTAAGATACATGCAGTACAATATCGTATGTACTGTACAACATGCAGGCCTGCAAAATAAAATAAATTTGGAATTGAGGTGCATTTACTCAGTTGAATGCTCAGCTGGAAGATAAACTGTTTGATTAAAATAAAGGAATGAAATGAATATATTTTTTAAAAACATTTCTGAATATTTAATGTATTTCAAAATGTAAATTATTTCTGTCTATTGAAAAGCAGAAAAGGGAGTTGAAATCGTTTTAAGAGGCAAAATATCATTGATTGTTTGAAAGCATCTTCAAATGTAAACATTCATCCGAAAGTTGTACATTTTCAATATATTTTAGAATTAAGATAAAATGTGAAGCATGCCACTCAGTGATAGACAACTAAAGGAAAGAAATGGAACATTAAAAAAGTGAATAAGCCATTCAGCTCAGATTTGAAACTAGATTCACCAACATAAACCGCATCCTAAAAGGTACAAAAGTCACAAATAACACATATTCACCTGTACGTGGACCCACTCAATTCATGGTGAAAATTAAACATTTTAAAGAAAACTTTTCGAAGCTCAAAAGTCATCCAAAAGCAACAAACATTTTCATTTCCTGTTTAACTTCTTCTTTGGTGACTGTGGAAGTTAATTACTCGTTTGGGCTTGATTTAACAGCGCCCTCTGTTGCTTTCTCGAAGCACTGCCATTAATTTACGTGTTTTTTTTTTTTTCATGACATTTTTTTTCCCCTGATCAGATACGACTGAGAGGCAGCGCTACTCTGGGGGCTCCAAAGAACCAATACGTCTATCAGGAGGTAAATAATAATAATAATAATGATGTTTTTCAAAATTATGTATTGATTTAGATTTTGTCATTATTGCTGTGTTGAATTCACAGGCTTGCCTACCAATCTATGTCTCGGCATTGAAGCGAGCATTCTCATTGGCCATGGGAATTAAATTTGGAAGTGGAGTGTTCTGGGTAGGTCCCGCCCCCACTCCCCCATTACATTGCATCACCATCCAAGCATTAGTGTACAACTTTTTTTTTTTTTTTTCAGGCGGTTCTGCTGGTGATGAGCTTAAAGCTGATGGTGCAGATGAAGCGCAAACAGGAATTCATGGCCCTGCTGCAGTCCAACCGTTACGTCCCCGGTGCCTTCTAGTCATCACGGAGTGAACCTTCTTTGAATTTGCACATGTAAAACACAATATGCTGTATACCATTAATAACCAGGCCATCACTTAAAATGCACGTAGACCTGACACGTAACCCACATGCATTTTGCCTATAAACGATGGTCCCGTTTTAACATTTATCAAGTACAATTATGATCCGTATGATTATCTTAGCAGGTGTTAACCAGCATACTATCCCAGCATGCACTGGGGGAAATGACATTTCCACACACCCAGACAGGCAGGTATGAATATGTTTTAGAAATGTATGTAACCGACACCTTACGTATGTAGCACAGTGTTTGCAACGTTATATAACCGGACCGCTTCAGGTTTGAATGGCGAAATAGCTGTACACAGAAATGACTGAGAATGTTAACCGCACGTTGTGTGCACACCGGAAACCTCAGTTTGTCTAAAAGCACATGTACGGAGTCGTAAAGTTTGATTTTGCAAACGCTTCTTATTTATTTCATCCATTTCATTTTATTTGAAGGGCAAAATGTGTGCACTTAGAAGCCAACAATGTGTATGCTTGGTGCATTTGTGTTTTTGAGAGTTGGGTGCCCCCGCCCCAAGTGTGTCAAATGAACATATAAGGTAATCGGTTATGTAATCTACTTGATTGTAAATAGTGGAAATAAAATGTAATAATTGTTCCCTTTGGTTGTTGTTGGTTTTTTTTTACCAATACACACATGCGTGGTTATAAAAAGGTAAAATCCCCATCAATTCATGGTTAAACATTTTCTTAAAGTCGTCCAAAAACAACGTTCTCGTTTCCTGTTGAACTTCGTCTTTGGTGACTGTGGAGGCACATTACTCGCTGGGCCTGGTTTAATAGCGCCCTCTGCTGCTTCCTGGAAGCACTGCCACTCATTGCCGTTTTTTTTTTTCCATTCAGTTATTTTCCCACCAGACAAGATTGGTTGTAAATGGTGGAATATGTAATAATTATTCCCTTTGTTTTTTTGTAATACACAGGTTTGTAGTTATAACATGGTAAAATCTCCATCTTTAAAAATGCTCACATAAAGACGTACGTTTTTTCCCAATTTTAATCACAATGTAAAAATATATTAAATGATGAAAAAAGTTACAATATCTCGATAAAGCAAAATTCCCCATGTGAATTAAAATTAAAAAACAAAAAAAAACATCTTGCAATCGTTGACATGTAAATTATAATCATAAGAGTGGAGTTTGAATGCACCTTACAAAGTCCAAATCAAATTTCAATCATTTTATTGCACAACTCAATTTTAAAAACAAAACGATAGGAAACGACCTACACATCACAGTGAAAACATGACGGAATTCCTTACATGCAAAAGACAGTCGAGAAATCCCACACTTGCACCCGATTGCACAAAACACATTCACGAATCAGAGGATGCGTATTTTGGTTAAGTTAAGCTCTGATTCCACACGACGAGAACACACAATGGACGTTAATCATTTCTGGCGCGCCGATACGATCAGGTGAGCTCGGCCGGTTCGGCGAGGACGGCGTAGTTGCCCGTTTTGGCTTCTCGACTGTACGCCACCACCAGCGTGTCCTTTTTCTCTCTCAGCTGACACAAGATGGCGATGCTCAGCATGCAGGACAACACCTGGGGGAGAAACGAGACGACGTCGTTTCAAAGTTCATGGCTGATAAAATTGATGACAATCCGGCGCGTCCATACCCAAAGTGAAGTCAGGCCCATTGAGACGCCCACCGTCGTGTTGATGGCCACGTTTAAATGTGAGATCAGTTTCGGAAGACATGGCTGCAAAAGAGACGCACGTTACGATATGATGCATACGCCGTATGTATATATATATATATATATATATATATATATATGACGTCATGTTCAATAAAATTATACTTCTTTATAAATCATGACTGGCGTGCCCTCTGCAGGCTGAAACAGGCTGCTGTTCCTGGGGGCGGCCACCTGTGACGTAAATGACAACAACGGGGTTGGTAAACAACTTCTATTTGCGTCATCAAAAAAAAAAAAAAACGATGGATAAGGAAACAGTTTGAACACGGGTGGCTCAGCGTAATACGTCAATACACAAGAAAGACGCTCAGTGAGCTCAAGAAAGATCCGCCGTTCTTCGCAGAGGATAAAGAATATATGCCAGTTAGTATTGCTGTATTGTCCATCTGCGCGTTGCTACGGTTTGTATTCAAATATCAGTTTGCTCAAAGCATTACAACGACCGCAGCGTGGGCGCGAGTTTTCCCAACGAGGGTGTTTTGTAACGCACGCTAGCATAAAGCTCGCGGGTTTTTTTGCTCATGGATTTGGCGATGTACGGACGCACAAAGTGTCACTGTGTTTGTTTTCGGTTGAGTTGAACAGTTAACCTCAACTGGGAACGGCGATAAATATCTCAAAGCCTATTTTGGGAAGAATTGTTTACTATCTGCTGCTTTTTTGGTTTGTAAACAGAAGTTGCAGATGAGTTAACTGAAGATACGGATGAGTGAAATTAGATGGGTTTCATAGCACACGGCATTATTTTTCCGACTTACGCAGTCCTCCACGGCGCCCTTGCACAGGCACGACTCGGAGATGTTGTAGCCCCACTCCACATAGCCGTGTTGCACTCCGCAGCACTCCAACTAGGAAGCAAACATGACAACAGGGAAGTCCCTCCATTTTGTATTTGCGCCAACCGATGCCACACCCACTTCGATCTGGGTCTCCGTCAGGATTTTCATGTCCACCTCGCTGGTGCTGTTAATTGGCTGCATGCTCAGGTAGAATTTGGACATGAGCTTAATGATCTGCGAAAGAGAGAAGGCGGACGGGTCGGCTTGCGGCGTCGTTCGTCAGACCGGGTGAGAAAATCTTTGCAGACGCCATACAAGCCGATGATGGGCAGGACCAAAATGGTGATGGACATAGCATACATGGCGTTGATGCCCACAATCATTTCCTCGATCTATGGATTTTGTCAATGTCAGTCTCATGAGGATTTAACAGGAAATGAGAAAAAAAGTCTTCTTTGTTATGGTCATGAGTAGCAGACATAATTTTGCTATAAATTTGACAAACAGTGGCCGCTTTGACTCTTTAGTACATTGTCTTATTGTCTGGCTACATGTGTTGCCGCACCATTGGGTTGAAAGATCTGTTGCTTGTGGGGTGATTCATTTCTCCAACATCAATGCTATTTTCGTTAGCCACTCGTGGCTTTTTGCAATGTGTTTTAGCATGAAGCTAACTTATGTGGACAATTTTTTTTTTTTTTTGCTCACAACTCAAATAAAAGTCGCCTGTGAGTCAAGGTGCCACTGTAACCATTAAAAAAAAAAATGACAACCAACTATATTTGACTCTTATGTTGATCTCTGTGACATCCGCTCTCCTGTGACGCACAACAGTCCCCAAGAGGTAAACCATGATTGACAGTTTGGCAGATAGGAGGCGTTACCTTCTCATCCGCGTGGTACTGCCCGTGGCTGAACAGCGTTCCGGCCAGCATGAGCGCCCCTACAATCTGCGCCGAGAAAAAAAAATAAAGAAATAAATACATAAAATCGCTGACAACACACAATTTGTAACATGCGTTTTTGGGGAGCTTGTAAGATGAATAATTGGTTGTAAAATCAGTTGCGAGAACCCTAACAAACGACGACATGCCATGGAGTGTAAACATGTGAAAAAAAAATAGAAAAACAGCACTCACCGCCATCAGACTTGCGACAACGATAAAACTCCTTTTCAACCAGATGTTCACTTTCCCCATTTTGGATCTACAGCCCCTCCTGCGGTGTTAAAAACAAACCAAAAACTAGAGTGCCGGCGTCTTCTAAAGCCACTGACGTTTGCAGAAGTGCAAAACAAAAAAAGAAAAAGCCCCCCCCACCCCAAAAAAAAAAAGACAAAAACCGCACACCCTCCTCTCAAATGCGACTGTAGAGAGGAAACGGGGGTGGGTGTGTGGGTGTGGGCGGGATTAGAACTTCATTGGGGACTTTTTTGGTGGGGGCGAAACGATTTGGGAAGAAAGCCGAACAGATGTGGACATTGTTCATCCATCGGGCTTTGTTTTTTTCCTGATGTGAGGGGGCGCGGTGAAACTCCTTCCCAAAACGCACACGCAAGTGGTTTGGAGTGGTGGAAGTACACGAAAAAAATAAAATTAAATTAAAAAAAAAAAAGAAAAAAAGTGAACACCCCGACACTTGAGCTCGTCCTCATTGCACAAAAGCATTCAAATCGAAACCTGATGATTGTGATTGTTTTTTTTTTCCCCGCACGCTTCCAAAACGAAAAAAAAAAAGGGGGAAACGGTTTGCAGAGATCCACACTGTCAAGAAGATACTGTCGGGCTCCAGATACCACTGGAAATAATATTTACGGATAGAAAATACAGAAAAGGAATTCCACGAATCCAGTCCAGCCCCCTCCTCATAACATCGCATTTTTGTTATGAAATAGCAACTGTTTAAAATATTTTTTAATTAATATTTTTTCACCAAACATGGTTTGTTTCTAGCTTTATCACTGCCCAACAAATCTTAAAAAAAAAAAAAAAAGTTTTTTTAAAAGAGAGATGCAAGTGCAATTTTTTGGCACAAAAAAAAAAAAAATTTCAAAGAGAGATGCAAGTAAATATTTCTAAATTTTTTTGCATTGATTTTTCCCATTTTTTTCACATTAGGTTTTTACAATAATCAGAAGAACAATATGTAATGCAGTAATATTTATTAATAAGGCCTAAATTCAGCATCTTGTCGATTTTTTTTTTCAAAAACGGTGAAATCCGTATTGCGCAATCAGCATCAAAAATATGTTGAGGGAGACAAAATCGGTTTCTGACCAAAAAGCGGAGAAATTAGCATTTTTTTTTGTTTTTTTGGGGGGGGGTAAATCGAAACATGTCAAGCAGACCAGTGGCTCTCCAACAAATATTTTCTCTTTGCGACACTTCAAACAAGACTTGTTAAAAATTAGTCACGTGAGCGTCTTGGTGTGAGTTGTGGCCTCCAGCAGCTCGTTGTGAGTGTTTTCATTTTGTATTTGTGTTTGGTTCTACATGTAATATTTTGGATTGTATAAGTCGCTACAAACGAAAGTATGACAGGACTCATGACACCACAAACACTTAACTCCGACCTTGCATTACGTGGAAATGAATGACGAAATCCTGAGGGCTATTCCTCGAACTCCAACATGATGATCAGTCGTCTTCTGCAAAATAAAGTACAGCGTGTCCCCGAGCTTCAGCAGACAAGAGCCGACCTTCGGGAGGTCACGCCGAGAGCAGAAAACCATCTGCAGAACACGTCACCTTGGTATTCCGTTTACTCCTTCACATGCCACCACCCCACCCTCCCCCTTTTTTTCCACTTCCCATATCACCCCAGGAGGGTTTGGGGGGGTTCTTGCTGTTTTCTCAGTCGTGGTAAAGCTATGTTGACAAAAAATGTCCCCGTCCACCGTGGGCAAAGAGACAACACGGATGGCAGGGCGGTTAAACGCGACAGGTTACGATTGCCGCGGGTGCCTGGCGAGAGTCGTAAAAGCGTCCAAACATTTGCCGCGGGCATTCTGGGTGCAAATGAGAAACGGTAAGAAAACTGGCATGACGACGGTAACCCGACATACTGTAAGAGGGCATAACACCCCTCGGAAGCGGTTCGCTGTGGATGACCAACAAGGAAAGAACGAAAGAGAGAACAAGCATAGGAAAAAGAGAGAACTGAGTTTGTAAACATTTTAGGATTTTTAATTGTTTTTTGATTACTTATTTTCACTTTCGTTTTTTAAATTCGACTATTTTTCATTGGTTTTTAGAAGAGGTTTTTATTTATTTTTTGAATGCTTCGTTTTAGTTGACCTTCTATTTGCTTGACTTTCAGTTGTAGTTTTGTTTTGTTTTGTTTTTTTTTAAACTGTGGCCAAGCATTCTGTAGTACTGTAAACTACAATTATTAGACTTTTAAAATGAACCCGAAAGTTCACGTAGGAGAAATCTGGAGGATGTTTTGGCTAAAATTATAACGACCCAAAACACTACGAAATAAACCCAACAAGTGTTTTTATTTTATTTTATTTTTTAATGTTAGACAATGGCCAAGTCGATGACCTAACATGAACCTGAGCACATCCCGTGCTGTTACGTTTCACGTCCCTTTTTGTGGTCTCTCCAGCCAAACATGAAAATTGTTTCCATGTCACCATATTTCGACACCTGCCTATATTAGTGAACTAATATTTGGCGGAAAACTATGACCAAACATTGACTGAGTTGCAGTCTAATTGTGACCTCTTGGTGTTGATGCTTGTTTGTTTGTTTGTTTGGGGATTTTGTCGAAAGCCTCGACGGAGTGTGACGGAAGTCAAGGAACAAGCAGTACGGCGGCCCGTGAGGCACATAGGTGATTGACTGTGGGATATTGGCGAGTCATTATGGCACAATGCGGTTTTTTTGGGCTAACTCGGCTGCCGTGGGCGCCGGAAACAAAGCCCAATAATGACTTGTTTTGACGCTGTCTCGAAAAGTTTTGGCATTCCATTTATTTGGAGCTTTTACTCTGCCGCGCATGCGCAAAACACAACCGGTACTTCTTGAGACGAGTGGGAAAAACCCCCCAAAACAAACATTAAAAAATGTCGCTACGGTAACCCAGAGCTCACCCACTGCTTCGACAGCAGATGCGCATTAGTCATAATATGATCAACATGCGGAATGCAGGAAGTTTGAAGAGAAGTTATGCAAGCTTTTGGGATGGCTGAACTATTACGAAGCGGGACCTTTACTTTGGAGCCGTCTTTGATTCGCATTGCGACTTCTTTTCAAGGTTGGATGATGTGAACGCCGTTAGCACTGTCAGTAATTAGTCACGGATTGTTGGAGAGTGAAGGGGAAACCACAATAAATTTAAAAAAAAGTTTTCGCGTCTGCGATTAGTATCTTGATTTATGACGAAATTGTCAAGAAACAGCTGGAGCCGCGGCGGTAGTGAAACTCAACTCAAATAAATCGCCTTTGATCATATTTTCAGAGACAAGTGATGTGATTTAAGCCTTCCAGCGTCAACAGCTCAAGACTTGGGCCCTCTTCAAGGGGGTTGATGATAAGTATTACACAAATTATTCGTCATAGTTTATTTATATAAACTGTGACGGACTATGGAGGAATGTCACTTAAAATTGTTTTTTTTTTTCAGCATTACTGAAGATTAGCTGTCAGTTTTAGCTTGGTGAACTCATTCAGTTTGATTGAATTAAAAATTCACACATTTTTATGACCTATTTCTACTCAATGTATTTTCCCCAAACATAATTCAACGTTACATTTAATTGTTTAATTGAAAATTAAAATGTAAAAATACTTGACTGTAATTTTGAATCATTATTTGATGTAAATTACATTTTAATTAAAAAAACTTATCTGGATCATTTGATATTTCCTTTATTCTGCAAACATTTTGCACTGCATTCATTTAGAACGTTTTTTTTTTTTTTTGTCAAAGTAATTTTACAATATTTTTTGTAGGTTTGAAATCACGCCAAATCTTTCTATAGGACCCATCCAGAAAATGTTTCAGAAAAAAAATCAATTTTGACTAGGCTAATGCTCTCGGCAGTAGTTGTTACGCGGGCTCCCTCTAGTGGTATAAAAAATAATCTCTGGTGTTCCGTTACAAACGACGACACTAACTTTTAGGTGCAAAGCATGTCAATTTAATCTTCAAATGATTCGTTTTTTAAAATTTTCTAATATCAAATCACAGTGTAAATATTCCGAATGGGCAAAATGTTAGTGTTTTATAAAATTATGTATAAAACAAAAATGAAAAAGGACGCACTCACCATCATCAGGCTTGTCATCACAATGAAACTGTACACGTTACCCAATTCGCCTCCGGGAAACTTCTCGTGGAAAACTTCTTCGCAGGAAAAAAAGTTAATAAATAAAAAATAAGTGTGGACAGTATGCTGTATCTAACATTTTTGTTGTCTTAAAGTGCTGAGTGCAGCCGTGTCCACAAGAGGGCAGTAAAGTCACGCCAGAAATATTAGATGAGATTCAAACTTAATTGGAAGTTGATTTGAACAGCGACCTGAAAGAATAAAGTAACTTTTGGGGTTTTTTGGGAGGGAGTGGGGGGGATGAAATTAAAGTAACGGCAACCTTTTTTTGACTGAACATAAGTAATTCTTTTTACTGTTTTGAATTTATTTTGGTCGTTATGGATTTCACGTAGCATAAACGGCTCGTTTATGGTTTTCCAACCCGCGACAAAGTGAGTTTGACGACCAGCAATTGTGCGTCGTCAGTGGTGCATTTGAATCGAAAACCCCTTTCCAATTTCCTTCAAATCTATCTTACGTAACCCTTTTCATATCGGTCGCTTGCTTTGTCGTGAGTGTTCCTTGTTGCCATGGCGCCACAAGGATGAATGGTGTTTGAAGGGCAAATGGAGGGAAAGGCCCCCCCCAAAAAAAAACATTTGAATTCGACGAGATGGCTGTAAAGAATGAGCCCGTGCACACACACGTATACACAATAATACAACATGTGTAGTGTTGTAAAAAAAATTAAAAAGAAGCTTGGAAAGCAAGATTGATTGACTTATTTTGTGGGGTGGGAGACTGGGCCGATCCCATGCAACCGATACAGTGCACGGGCAATGAAAAGAACAGGATCATGTGTCGCACCAGTTGAATAAATAAGAGCATTTTTTTGGTCTGTCGGGCGCAGCAGACGGAAAAATGGCAAGCACTTTGACGATGATTTTAGGATGAAGTTATCTGAAGATTACAGTTGGAAATGTCGAGATTAGTTTACTGAATTATAAAATACTTTGTGGCCTTTTTTTCCCTTTATCTTGCGTTTGCACTAATACTCCATAGGTTAGAAAAACGAACGAAAAAAAAACCCTAACACAAAAAAAAAAAGAATAACAAACCTGCTTTAAAAACTAATTAAAAGTAAATTAGTTATTATTTTTTTAAAGTCAAATTACGGCGACTTAATTTACTGTGCAGGTCCACTTTTTTGCAACAAGCAAGTCTTTAATTTTCATTGTATTCTATTGATTTTTTTTTTCAATTTCTATTAGCGATGTTCTTTTCTCATCATTTTTCAAATGGCTGCCTGCGCGCTTTCAAGCTCATTTGAAAGAATGATTCGAAAAATCTTGAAGGACTTCCTTTCATCGGCCCGCTCATGTTGAAAAAAATGCATTTTATACGGCGGAAATCTTTTTCGGTTGAACCCTCCAAGGACGTTTATTTTTTTTTTCCTTTTTCTTTGCAATTGAACAGAATATCTCCAACTAAAGGTTGACGACTGGAATGCGCCACAGTCGCCATGGCAGCGGCATAAAGGCAGCTTCCAGTAGTTGCCGTGCGAATGGAGCACACTGGTCAACATCAAATTTTAATCAGAGAGGACTTTATGTCTCCCTAAAGATACGTTTGACGCTGATTTCAGCCTTTTGCTGTGCCCTGTAACCTGATAACGTCGTAAGCTGTCCACTGTAGTGACCGCTGTGCCTGAAAGGGTTCAAAAAATGTCTTTAATTTTTTTATTTTTTAAGCAAATCAAGTTTTTGAGATATGTTCATTTATTCGGTTTTAAGTGACTAACAAAACTTGACAAAAATTCGGAATCAGCCCCCCGTCCCCCCAAAAAAGATCGAAAAAAGTTAACTTGCATCTCTTGATTAAAACATTTACCCCCCACAAAAACATCGCAAAGGCCACCTAAAAAAAAAAATGCCAATGTTAAAATACAGTAGCATACTAGGCCTAAGTGTTCACAATTGAGAATTACATTTTATTCCTAAAAGGTATGTTTCATGTTTTGTAAACCACTGATACATTGTGTACATTTTAAACATTTAAGCTACTAAACAGTCTCAGATGCAATACACGCCCTTAACGACTTTTAAAAATTGTTTAGATTTACTTCGCAACGTTTTGTTTTTTTTTTTTTTTTTTGTCATGCCACCATTTAAGCGCAGCAATTCACCTCTGCGCCTGTTGCCAAGCAACTCCTGACATTTGAAGGATGCTTGATTTCCAAGTTGTTTGTATGCTGTGCACATAAAAAATAAAAACTTTTTAAAAAAATGTGTTTACGTCATCCGTACTGCATCACGCTAAACTATCCGAATAAGGCAGTGCAAAAAAAAAAAAAAAAAAAAACGAGATTACTCACCAAGCGTCTTCCTTAAGGAGCTGGAATAATTACAGGACAGGACAGGACAGGCCCTCGATTAAATCGGCTTTCTGTTTCCAAAGGGCATCTTAGTCCGACTAAACGAGAGTACGACCGTTAGCAGGCGTTAATTCACTTCTTTGCGGCGCCGAATGATTGGATGAACCCCTTTTTTTTTTTTTTTTTTTTAGTTAATCTTTAATGAAATGATTACATTCACAAAAAAGACATGTCGGGGTTACCTCCAGTGGGATTGTGCTAATGTAACATTTTTTTTTTATGTGCAGATTAAAATCTGTTCTTTGAGGATGTATAAATACCTCCGAAATATTAAACAGACTTTGTCCCTTCCATTTATAATCGCGTGTCAATTCACAAACTTTCTATATGTGGTATTTAGCCTAGCATGCTAGCTAAAAGTGTCAGCGAGCTTCATGTGAGGGTGGTTTGCATGTGTTGACACGTTTAACAACTGAATACAATCATTTATGTGCCACGGCTTCATGCTAGGCGTTGATGCTTTATGATCCTTTCTAAGTGCTTTGGTACTAACTATACTAGTAAGCCAAGCTAAGATACCCACAACGCTGTTTTTTTCTTCTTTTTTCCCCTCGCCCGATATAGGCGTGAGGATGTGCCGCGCGGCCGAGTCTCTACCTCTGAGTCACATTCCTTCCACTCTCATCCCACTCAAACACAGACGGCGCCTTCAGCTGCGAATGTGATGCCAGTGATACATTCAGACGCCGGTAATCAAATGATGCTAATGAAACAAAGAGGCCCGCAGCGCCTCCGGGCACCAGTCCGTCTGAGCTGATAAACACGAGCCATCTCGACCGAGAGGCATTCTCGATATGCGGGCGGCTGGTGACATACTTTTCCCGTTTGGGAAGAACACGAAGAAAAATTCGACTTGAATGTTTTCGAAGCCACCGACATTTGGAGCCAGTGGCAGATTCCTCACCGGTTTGATTGAAAGCTGATCGGCTTTTGTGGTCAAATGAAGTGATCTCGTAATTTGAGAAAGTTGTCGTGGACAATTGCCGTATGTGCCTTCATTTGACATTTACTTTTCATTTTAATCCAAAGGAGTTGACTTACTCTTCCACTTGAAAGTAATTGAACTGGAACACGTAAGAGGGAGCATATCAATCCTATTTTGGCCTCGCCTCCACTATCTGCCTTTGGACTTTAAAAGTTCATTTTAAAATTCAGTGATTTGTTTGTCAAATATCAAAAAATAGTCTTGTCCAAATTTTGTTTTGACAAGATTTTGGGTCATAACAAATTGAGCAGGATCGCGTAAATCCTGCTTGATTAGAAGAGGATTAATAATAGAGCGCTGAAATCAATAATCCTGGCTGGATTGTTAAAAGGAGTTTATCGGGAAATATGACTGCGTTTCTGTGACCATCGTGAGAGTGAACGCACGTTGTGAATAGGTGTCAGATCATCAGCAGACATTCAAGGACACGGCGTTTGCTGAGGCTAAAGTGATTAGCTTGTTGCCCAATTGGTTTAATGTGCAGCGAGAATAGGATTCATGTCAATTCAACTTTGCGATGGGATTGTCCTTTGAGGACGACAGATTGATTTTCGATTCGGCCGTTCCCGCCACCAAGGTTCGTTTTTTTTCTTTGCTTTGCTGTCTGTTTAGCTTCATGCTAACCAGCCATGCAAACTTCCATAGCTAGGGGGAAGGATGGGATTGGCAATATTTCTACTTTGCAAATGGCCGCACTTGAAAAATTTCAACATGCTGATTGAAGTGGAGGCACCGGGCAGAAAGACAATCAGTGGAGCGCAGAAGTCTTGACAAGACGCAGCCAGTGGCCCTTCAGTATTTTACTCGCTTAATTGTTGCCACTGACTGCCCTCTGATTGACTGGCGCGATCTTGCCTCGTCGCCGAAAGCAGTAATTTGTCGCGTTTTCTTTCAATTGTGTCCGTCCTCTCTAATGGACAGTGTGCCACAATTAGTTAGCGGGTGAGACATCCAATTAAAACCGAAACCAGCGATTTTCACTGTGGCGCGGGTACCGCTAATGGTACGCTCGCTCCCTCTTATCGTGTGTGAAAGAATCTTTGCCTAAGTGTAGTTCGGGTGTATTTAAATGTTAAGTTAAAAAAAAAAAAAATGTGTCGATTACCTCAGGGTGATGTTTTCATAGCCGGTCTGGTGGAAAACTCAAAACATTGTTGAGCAAGGGTCAAAAATGATCCCAAATCAGAGAAACTGTGAAAACAAGCACAGCCCCCCCCCTCCCCCCCAACAAACAAACACTCACCACTTGTTATAACCATCAGACAAGGACAGAAAATATAAAGCACTTCGCTGATTGGTGGAGACACCAGGAAGGGGCGGGGCAGACACCAGGAAGGGGCGGGGCAGACACCTGGTGAAAACAAACCGAGTGGAATACATTAAAAACATGACACGTGACAGACGTCGTCTACAAAAGGCAAGAGACGAGTTCTTTGCCCCACTCCTTGCTGTGGCAAAAGCTTCCCGGCGATAAGTGATGAAAAGCTTTCAGACCGTCGCTAACTCCGCCGAGCTAAATTTAGCGACCAGTGTCGCTCGCGTCGCTTGATGGCGACAGCGCGCGGGCTTACCTTGGCTTGACTGGCTCATTAAGACGCCGCCGAGTGCGGCGCGTCTATGATCTCTTCCACCCCGCGGGTGACACGGAGGCAGCCGTGCCGGATCAGAGGCTTTTCTGCTGATCAACTGGAACGTACGAACTAAATATTGCATCGTCTTTTTTTTTTTTTCCTTCCTCTCTCCCGTTAACCCGCCGTGCGCCCGTGTTGATCTTTAAGTCGTCGTTATCGAAGCTCGATAACACTCCGTCGACAGCGCAGAGTGCGCAACCAACCGTTAATATTTGTACTTTTTCGCTGGCGCTAGCTAATAAAAACACGAAATCTCTGTCTCCTTCCAATGCAAAGCCGCGTAAAAATGCACCGATACCACACGCGCCGATACCACCTCACCAGCCTGACATGGTCCCCGGCGCATTCGTCATGCCGTTGAGAGCGCAACATCCATCCTATGCCCTCTTAACCGTGACTAAAGAAAAGCTAAAAATAAACGGAGGAGTACACATAAGTATCCCACGTGCTCTGAGGAGTGAAAGTGTCATAATGGGCAGCTGGAGAGGCTGCAGCTTCCCGCGCACCCGCATCCCGCCGCGTTTTTCCGGCACCGCGTTCGCGCCTAGCGCCGCTGTTTTGTTTGCTTCTTCCTAATGATTATAATTACGGCGACCCCCCCCCCCCGGTGAATTGACGCTGCCGTTTTCCCAGAGTCCCTGCACTTAGCTTCTCCCGCTAAACAATACCCTCGCGGGTTGTCAGTGAGGGGCTCCATGTCACCGCGTGAGTAATTTAGAGTGTTAGCGTGGCTTTTGGAGTACGTGTGCGGTATGAAGCCTGCAAATGGAGCCTCCACTCACGGCACCTGAGTCACACCGGGCTCTCGAACGCCGGCCTCATTACACGGCACTTAGCGAGATTTGAATGTCACATGGTGGTATGATCTTGTTTTGCTACCGTATAGAAGAAAAAAAAAAAAAAGGTTTGGCATCGCCGGCGTGTTTTGAATCAAAAGCAGTTTCGAGACGTGTAAGGGCTGTGAATGACTTTTTTTTTTTTCTTTTTCGTCAAGGTGCTCTTTTCATGTCTTATTAAAATGACGGTTCTGTTCGCCATTGGCACTTAACGTCAAATTCCAGGTCTGAGTTTTTTTTTTTTTTCCTGGACTGAACTTTCAAAGATAGAAAACTTGAATGACAAGCGCGATGAACATTTACGCACGATTATTTTTCGAATTGACGAGTTCGAGACGACGGTATGTGCGATCGTCCCTGCCGCTCTTTTGTTTCCCAGCATCTTTCATTTGAAGAAAACTCATCCTGCCTCCTCCCCAGGCATGGGAGTGTGTTGTGGGCGGATGTAGGATGCAGAGGATTCTTTTCCCTTGAATTAAAAAAAAAAAACACACACACTCCCGGCCCTGACTGTTTACATCTCCGTGGCACGTCTGTGGCTGTTTCCATGGCGACCCGAGTAAAGATAGTTAGAATGCCTCCGAGATCCACTGCCCCCAAACGGCACTTAATGTGAGACGTGAGTTGAAAAGCGAATAGGTGAGCGCGAACGGGCGGTGAATGGAGATGGCCTCGCTCGCAATTACATCCGTTGAAGAAACGATGCCACAAAAAAAAATACAGTTTTGGGGGGGGGGGAGTCAATGACTTTGGCATTCTGATGTTCCATAAAGTCTCTTGCATATAATATGCATGCGCTTGCAATCAAGTATTCAGCGTCTGCGTTTCCATAAATAGAACGGGAAGGCGGTGTTTTTTTTTTTTTTTTTTTGTCAAAGGGATGTTCACTCTCGTCTGCTAGAATTGTCGCTTCAGCTTCAGGATTTTTTTTTTGTTTTTTTTTTTTGCTGCACTTTAATTCATTCAGCGCCAGCCATTTTCAGAGCCACCTTTACACTAGCATGTGATTTTTATTTCTTCTTTTTTTTTTAATACACGAAGACAAAACTGGGACTGAATGCCTGGATTAAAAAAAAAAAATGAAAAAAATTCCATGTTTTTTTTAAAGAATCCAGGCATTTTATTTTCATGTTTTTTAAATTTTATTTATGTATTTATTTTTTCAAAGAATCCAGGCATTTCAACCCAGGTACGTCTTGATGTATTTTATTTTTTTTAATTAAAGTCAAAAATAAACGACTGGATGTGACAAATCTGTTTTCTTTTTTCAGCTTCTGCGCCTATCGGGCGAAAGGTCAGAGTGGCCTGTATCGCTTTGCTCATAGTCTGCTAGTTAGCGGGTTAAAGTTAGAAATATAAACGTGTTCGTAAAAAAAAAAAAAAAAAAAAAAAAAAACAATTACATCACTCAATGTAAATCCTATTGCATGACAAGATGACTTTTTTTGAAAAAGTTAAGAAAATGCATCATGCTCACCAGAGACGCTGATTATGAAACATGTGTTTGGCTAGTGGAACTCGTAGGACGGAAACATTTTGACACCATTTTGGGCCAGCTGGCTGGCCCCGTGCAGATGATTTTGAAATCCGACTCTCAAGGAACGGTCCCGTTGATGACAGAGTTGAGTTTGGATCAGGCAGCGTACGGATTCTGAAGGCCCTTGGGCAGATTAGATTCACATGGCAACACTGAGGCTGAAACCTGATTGGACAAAAAAAATAATAATTAAAATTGAGGCTGTACAGAGAAAAATTTAAAAACAATGATTTAATTAAAATATTAACTGTACTTACCTGTAAATTTCTCTCTTTTTTTTTTTGGAATTCATAACCCCGCCCAAAATATCACACATGCATAAGTTGAGAATTAAAACGAGCACCCATTCATGAAAAGATAAATAGTTTATGTGAATCCTTCACTTCGTATCCACTTTTATACACATTGTTCTCAACATGATATACAGTGTCTTTTTTTTTTTTTTTTTTTTTTTTAGCCTTTGACACAAATTTTTTCTCTTTTTAAGCATGCACTTCAGATACAGACTCGAAACTACAATTCGTCCCCACGACAGAACATACAAAAACGTGAACTTGGAATCAAAGAGCTCGACGACGTTCCGGAGACACGATGGACAAAATAAGCACAGCGTTGGGCGACCGTGACTTTCACAGGTAAGGGTCATGAACGGTTAGACACAAAAATACACGTTTGGAATTCAGAAAAATAAACCGATTTTTTTTTTTTTTTTTTAACGTTTCCCCCCCAGAATTACATCATCTTAAAAATACACAAAGAACGGTACTCCTTTGTCACATTCAAGAGTAAAGCAGCGTGTGTACTACACAAGGAGGGTGATGGGGAGTGGGCGACACATCGACAATGCCACCTGACAGTCTCCCTCTGCCATTTTTTTTTTTTTTTTTTAAACCTTCAACCCTCTCTTTTTTTTTTTTTTTTTTTAACTGGAATCACAGTGTGGCTTGGCGCTTTCGGTTTTTGGGATTATTGCAAATTGACCAAGGAGCATTAGGGCCAAACTGGAAGGAAAAAACAAAAAGGGGGGAGGAATACAGTCAAGAATAAAATCGTTTTTGGAAAAAGTGATCCTGCGAGAAAACTTTCGAGGGAAATGAAGGACTAAAATGAATGACAAATTTGACAAGAGGATTTTTTTTCCTCCAAAATACAGTGAGAGTCTTGATGATAAATATATGATTAAAGTGCATCTGACATTTTTTTTCGAGAATACTGAACTTTTGTATTTTTTTTTCCAGAATTTGAAGAGGCAGAAAAGAAAAAAAGTAGTTTTAAACTCGCTTTGATTGGCCACGGTTGTCGGCTGTGACCACATCCACAGCGGCGCAGCCCGCCAAAGTTGCCACAGCTGTGCATGTACAGGTTTTACGCTGGTCATGAAAATAGAGCCCATTGTCGGATCGTAATCATTTCAAAATGTTCATTTTATTCTGATATATATTTTTTTTCTTTTCAGTGTGGCCCTAGTACACCTATCACAAAATGGATCTGATTATTTGGGTACAAGGAATTGCTACTGTGCAAAAGCAGCCATTATAGAAGTCCCACTTTTTTGTAAAAAATATATCTGTATAATTCGTAAATTTCTGCTACACATTTTCTCCCAGAAAAAAAAAAAAAGACAGTTGGATGCATTTGGAAGAATTAACTGATTTTAGCCACCATTGAGTTATGAGGAAACCTCTGCTCATAATCATTTGGTTCCATTTGCAGCACTTGACGCAGGGTCGTTGCATGTTCAATGCACAGTGGGAGACTTCTACAATGGCGCTTGTATCGCAGTGGGGGTCGGGGGTGGACTCTCTCGTCCGTTTCTGTGCTAATCTCGAAAAGTGACGACATCCAAAGCCCACCGAACATGACCTTCCAAAAATAGGATATGCACATACATCAATACACAGCAGAGCATTTGAACCGACTGAAATTGACCAAAAGCAGAGATGTCACGTTGACTCAACTTAGCACGGTTGTCTCTCGAATATACTGCATGTCCAGAATAAGAAAACACTCTATTTTAGAACACAAAAGTGCCTCGACGGACAAAAAAAAAAAAAAACACTTATTGCAAGGAGGGCGGCGCGAGCGAGATTTGAGTGTCTTGACGGTGCAATTTAGCAACCAAATTGCGTTGCCGCGGGTGACTTATTTACACACGTCTATTGGCGCTCGGGGGTCCCGTCGGCTTATTTGGCCTCCTGCTCGGGGGATTAAATGCTTTGTCACCGTCCTCTTGGATTCTTCGGGGGAACTTCCTCCTCCGTGTGCCGAGTCACGGGGCCGACGGGGTCTCCCTAGTGGTTTTTGCGTCGACTCCCTCCTTTATTGTCCTGTAGGAGCGGCTGGAATGCCTCCAAATGGGGTCTTCCCACTGCAATAGGTCCTCATATTGTTATACAGTCTCCCCCCGGCGGGTGGGCGGGGTGGCGGGTGGGTGGGGTGTTAATCAAACCAGAAATGAATTCTCAGCCTGTCTCCGTCAAACATTTTGCCATGCACGTTCGATCGTTTGAAATACATGCTCAAGGATGAAACGGACATGGTGTCTTCAACCGTTTTCGATGGAGGTGATCAATAATTTAGTCCGCAGACAAAGTGGAATGTTTTTGAAGAGCGCCCGTTTGGATTTGATTTTTCGGTGGGGCCAATCTATGCGCAAAAGAGCATCATCTGCAAGCCAGTTGCTAGGCAACTCTTTGCTACTTGGAGTAATGGCGGAATGGGTGAGGTCCAAGTGTGCAAGCCCACACCTGTTGGGAGCAGACGGGGAATTGAGGCGTATCGTGGTGTGGCGTCAATTCGCGAAGGCCTCGGAAGGATATTTGCGTTTCGTATTTCTGGGAAGAAAAAAAAACGTGGAATGGAAATAAGATGTTTTATCATTAACCCTTTCATGTACCCTGTAACATGATAAGCGGTCCACTGTAGTAACCGCCGTCACCTAAAGGGTTCAAAAAAAAATTTTTTTTTTGAAAGACAGGTGTTATCGTGATGAAAAAAATATTCAGAATGTCTGTGAATTTATTTTGGAAAAAAGATTCATGGTGCCAGAATAAAGTTCGAATAATCGTAGGACAAAACTGCAATGTTGTGAGAAGCTGAATATGAGGTAGGAAAAATAAGATGTGATGTTACGAGAGTAACAAAAAAAAAAATCAGCTGAATGAAGTCGGAAGATTAGCACAAAAAATTAAAAAAAAGAAACTGAGGATTTCAGTTGAATAAAATCATTATTTGAGCGACTTGAGAAGAAGAGTGGGCTTCACTCGAGTTTCTCGTTTCAGCTGCAATAAAATCCGCCGTCTTTTCATGAACGTCTGCCTTAAATACATCCTCATATTTCTTCGGCGTTCCTATTCCTCCATTCATAGTCGACATTCCACAAACAAACCCAACTAAAATTGCACGACACGACCGGATCCTCTCAACTCAAATTACATCTCGATATCCTGTCAAGGCACATCCCCCTCACATATTTAATCAAACCGAATCAAAACATATTCCGGTCTGTCGTCTCAGATTATTGAACAACCTCCATCGTTTAGAGCGTACAAACCCAAAACAAACAAAACAAACAAAAAAAAAAACAGTGGTAGTGAAAGGCTAAGGGGATTCGGCATTGACTCCTCCCACACACCCATGCAGAGGGTTACCTTTCTGCCAAGGCGCTGCTTTCCCCCAAAGCCATTAAGATAGAACGCCACTCTCTGCTTGTGTGAAACCAGTAAACACCATCTCTTTGCAGTTATCTGAGAGTGAACAACCAGAAACATACATACAACTTATACGCGTGCATATATGTGCAGACATGTGGACAGGAAAGAAGAACACCCCTCTTTCAAGATTTTTGACGCATCGTGAAGTCAATTACTTTTTTGGGTGGGGGGGAGGATAGCTTTGCTGTGACTGATGTGAAGTGATTTTTTGTTTTAGTATTAGAGCCACATTTTTTTAATTATGAGTGGGGGGAAAAAAAACGTAAAGTTAATGTAGGGGTCTTACAATGTCAAAGTTATGTCGCAACTTTAAAGTTGTGATAATTAGGGGGGGGGGGGGGGGGGAAATGCGATGTTGCCAGAGTAAAAATCTTTTCACATTTACGTTATGAATTTGAAACATGTCATACAGACACAAATTTGTCATATTGGAGGGACAAATGTTACGAGAATAAATATGTGCAGCTCATTTTTCAGATTTTCGGAATAAATCAATAAATTCTGAGGAAAAAAAAGTCATCAAGTCACAAGAACAAAATTGAAGGAGTAAAATTATAACATAAAAATGGAACGTTCCGATTTCAAAATGTCAAATTAATCTTCTTTGAACCGCGTATTTTGTGGAGGCCAACTCAACAGCGCCTCTGCAGGTCCAATCCAAGTACTGCGCTCAAGTTTACCGATCCATAAAACCCAACCGAAAGCAGGTGTTAAGTGCTTCCTTTTTTCACATGGCAGCAGATATATGATATTTTCACAGTGTGCGTGGTGCGGTCGCCCCCCCCCGGCAACATGGCTTGCAGACGACAATGGTTTACAGATTGCAGTCCATGCAAAAAAAAAAAAAAAAATTATCAGGTGACGAGGAAAAAAAATAAAATAAAATGAAAATAAAACGAAGCAACGGCTGTCTTATTGTTTTACGGAAGCACACCTTTCTCCTCTCGGCATCCAAAAAGAGCGACATCTAATATCCCTGATTGCAAAACATGTCCTTCATTAAATGTGACGGCTGCTACTTTGAAAGCCATCAGTCCGTTTTTGTTTTTTTTTTTTTATTTATTGCAATATGACAATATCAAATCCAAAAGTAAATAAATAAAAAGGGAAACTTCAAGTGACACAGGAGAATAGCCAAGCACGCTTTGACGGTAGTCAGTCGATCCGCCTTTGCTACAGGTGCTGAGCGATCTCGCACAGTTCAGTTTGTGATCGGATATGGAGCGGGTAATGCAAAAAAAAAATACTAAAATAGTGTGGCGGCGCCGGACGTCTCACAGGATGGAGGGAATAGGGGAACGGGAGCGCCGTAGCGGGCAGGGCGATCCGTAGGGCGAGGTGACGGGAGACAACCTCAGGGCGTTAGCGGTCATGCCTGCTATGTTGTTTAAGCTGCGAGATTTCTCGTAGCCTTCAGATGGAGCGCGACAAAGACGTGGAAGTGGAAGTGGTGCAGGGGGACATGAACACACACAGGCAGGCAGGCAAGGCAGGCAGGCAGGCAGGCATCCGAGTCCAGGCCGATTGAACCGTGGCAAGACAGGAGACAGGAGTGAAACAGAGCAACTGTCACATCGTGTATGGTGACTGCATGCGCGGATTATTTCCCGAACGGTCACAGTAGGGCACGATGAAGTCGCACTTGAAGTCCAGAATGACCATCAGGCCAAATTGGAGTATGTCTACTTCCCTTGTCATCAAAAGTTAGCAAAGAGCAGATTTTTTTCGATAGCTCGAAAAAGATTATGCCGGGGCGAATTGACGAATGATGGAAAAGTACGGAAAAAGGGAGGGACTAACGCACAGGTGTCAAAGTAAAGGCCCGGGGGCCAGATCCGGACCGCGACATCACTTTATGCGGCCCGCAAAAGTGTCAACTTCCATGATCCTTGCTAAAGTCCGTACCGAAATGTCAAATTGTGACTCGTGCTATACCGAACAAACAACCAACAAAGAGCTGTTTTTAAGCGGTGACAAATTCATCGAAAGCTCAAGCGACAGCCGAAACTTCTCAGCTCGGTTACAGGTTTTCCCTTGATGGATGCGCGGTTAAAACTAACGACGGACTGGCGATGACAGTTTTAGTTCCGCTTGAGATAAAGACGGACGGGCGAATGACGGACCGGCAACACTTACTGACTGCTGATTTGTTTCGAGCGTATGAAACTAA